TTTTTCTTTGCATCACAATAAGCAGGTGGGACATACTTCATACGAAATTCCCTAAGAAAGTCATCTCAAGTAAGAACAGGAGGTTTTACGTTGGCATTTGGAACAATTACCCACCAATCATAAGCATCCTTCTGTAATAGTGAAATAGCATACTTAAATTTGGCAACTTCAGAACGCTCTAACTGCTCAAATACCCTATCCATGCGCTCCAGCCATTGTTCAGCATCTGTGGGATCAACAGTGCTTTCAAACTCCACTCCACCCATTTTCCTCATTTTCTCAAAGTTAATCACGTTGGGATCATGCATCGCTTCAGCCATGTGGTGGAAGAGTTCATCCATTTGTTAAAAAGGAGGATTCATGTCTTAACTATCACGGCTTATGTGAGGATGTGAACCCGTCTTACACCCTGATGGTTTCCCACTTCAGACCCACTAGTGCGAGGAACATACTGATTCGAGAAAGGTTCTCCAACCTCTTCTGGTGCATGAGGTTAGGGCACAGAGTTACCCGACCCTTCACGATTAGCTTCCATAGATCGGTCAGAAGAAGAGGTCATAACTTAATCCTTCAAAAGAGAAGATCACATTGCGTTAGGGACATGTACATGATGCATGTGCACTCTACATGTAATAAAATTATCGTAACCCAAGTAAGCAAACAAATAATCCAAATAGAACCATTTTGAAAGTGAGCAAGTATACAAGTAATTCACAGCAAAAATCCTAGAACCACAAACCTAGGCTCTGATACCAATAATTGTAACGACCCCTTTCGAAAGGATACGACCACCTAAGCAAGAAAACTACTTAAATACTTGCGACAATTAAAAGAGACTTACTATGGCCATATTGATTGTAGTCTAATAGAGGGATTAGGTTCATAAAGGAAAAAAAAAATTAGATAAGGATGTGCATCTTGTACATTTAAACATTCATGTGATGTCAAAATTGATATGGCACGGTGTTTCAACTTATGACGGAAAAACCGTCCCAAAAATAATTTAAGCAAATAGCCGATGAGCTTTTCATGCATATATTATCTTCACACTTAAGGATGAAATAATATGAATATTACCCATTTCGAAGTACCGAAATTAGCCCGTTCATGCTTCACACAAATATTCAAAGCAAATATTAAATTTAGTATATTGCAATACTTGGGCTTACACACCCCAAAAGAACAAAACATATCGCCATACTTAATTTACAACCCATGGTGACATGATCACATTAGTCATCGAAATTTCATGTAAATATACAACAAAAAGATCATGTACAAGTCCCAAGGTTTATACAAAATATAGATGCCTAAATGCAAATGTGATCTTCCTTAAAGCTCTCAAAATTTCCATCTTCAAAGGCCTTCTTCACGCCTCCTCTCGACCATTCCCTACGATAGAAACAACTATCGCTAAGCATATAGCTTAGTGGTGCAAAACTATAGTTTCGGAGCCATCCGATTCACAAAACAAACTTTCTCAAGTCATGGGCAACATACTCGAACATAATAAATAAATCAAGTAAATAATATATCAAGAGTATCAAATTCGATATTTAGAGGTATGACAAGAGGTAACCAAAGGTACCAAGATCCAATTTCAGATATACTAGAGGTGAAAAGAGTGCAAGTACAAGTTTATACACAAACCTCAGTGCTTTAGCAAAGAAACAGTCCAACCAATGTATCAAGGTCCTCAACTTGTTCACAAGTATATACAACCTTTAAAATACAATTAAACAACTTCTTTAATTCCTAGAAGCTCAATAATATTAATGTAAAATAGGATCATCATCAAAAGTAAAATTAGCCTGCATAAACACAACAATGCTCCCAAAACAGTGATTCTGGCCAGCCTAGTACCTCATGTCGCAACTTAGATTTGAAATGGAAAACAGCAAAACTAGACTTTATAACCTTCATGAAATATGTAGATACATCTCTTAGGGTTGCAAACAAACAAGAATCACCGCAAAATCTATCTTGTACAACAAGATATAGTCAAAACACCAACAGTTGTTCATACAGAATTTGAAATTCCAAAATCTGGACAGAACTGGTTCTATGTTGCGTCCCATATTTTGAGTCTATAACAGCTGAATCAGAGTTTGACATAAACATAATAGTTGTAGGTCTACGAATTAGCTTTCCAAATCATATTTACTCACTGTAAAATAAGTTATAGAGCGAGAGATATGCATATAATACTAAACACTACCCAGTTCAGAAAAAAATTTCGACACTTACCAACAAGAAGTGTGTGTTCTTGAATTCCAGCCAAAAAAGGGCCAAGTTTCTCTTGTGATTTTGAAGAACACTCTGTTTAGATATGTTTCTAAGGTTCTAAGGCTTGAGGAAAACGAAATTTCTAAAAGGAGGGGTGAAAAATATATAGTCAACAAGTGATGTTTATCCCTTGGGCAGCTGTCCTTCAAAGGTGCTGCCCAAAAATTTGTATGCTGCCCAAAATGTATACATATACACTTATATATATATCCCTCATCTCCTTTTAAAGTTAACATAATTCTAATTAGAATATTACCTAAACACCCCATCACAAATCCTTAAATTACGATAAGAATTTATGCTAAGCAAGTTGGCAATTATCACAACACTTCAAGTTTCCAAATGAGACTAAAACATATTCTAGTAATTAAGCAACGGTAAATCGACATGCGACTCTTGGTTAGTATTTAGGGGTGTTACATGCAACTCCTGATCTTCATGCCCTGCTGACTCAGATATTAGCAGTTATTGGTGAGATGCGTCAGGCACCAGCACCAGTCCCAGCTCCAACTCCAGCGCCGCAGTGTCAGCCTGCTGCAGCGGCACCAGAGGTTCAGCCGCCACCAGTTCATGTGACCGCCCTGCCAGACTTAAAGGACAGAGAGATGCCACTGCGCGAGCAGAAGATGCTCAGGATATTCCAGAGGTTGGCACCGCAAATATTTTCAGGGGTGATTGGGGAAGGCACCCACGAGATCCAGCTCATTTGCCAAGAGCAACTACAGTCATTAGGCCTCTTGGAGTCGAGAGGAGCCGACTTTACCACTCATCAGTTCCGTGGGCCAGCCAGGCAGTGGTGGCGCACGTATCGAGAGTCCAGGCCAGTTGGATCGCCTTCTATATCTTGGAGTGAGTTCTCAGAGGCTTTCTTGGCCCAGTTCATGCCATGGAGCGTCAGGGATATGGTTCGTGATCTGTTCTCCATATTGGAGTAGGGCCCTATGACCGTCTCAGAGTACGAGACGAGGTTCCATGAGTTGTTTCGACATACTACCATGATCCTGCCCACGGAGGAGGAGAGATTTTGTTGTTTTGTACGTGGGTTGCGGTACCGTCTGAGGGTCGACACAGAGCATTTGGTTTCGACTGGCCGTTCATTTCTTGATGTGGTCGACCATGCCCGATCCATGGAGCATATTCATCGCGAGGCCCAAGGGGGCAACGATATGAGGGCACGTTACTAGGGCAGCTACAGTGGGTCCCAGACTAGAGGGAGAGACTCCTATGATAGGCCCCGCCAGAGGTTCCAGCAGGGTCAGTCTAGTCGGCCTGTTCAGGCAGCATTACCTGCTTTTGAGGAAGCCAGCATCAGCAGGATGGTCCTAGTACGGGCTAAAGTTCGAGAGGATCAGATTCTCTCCCTTCCTACCGCGGTCGGGTTACTTCAGGCCATTCAGCTTCAGGGTGTTTTGATTGCGGTGCGCTTGACCATTGGTCTAGAGTGTGCCCCCGGCAAGGGCGAGGGGCGATTGTACCAGCTCCCCTTGCACCTAGACCAGTTTCAACAGTGCCCCCTCCAGCTAGAGGTGGTGGTCAGGACCAAGATCGTCGGGACAACCAACAGGGTACCAGAAGCGGAGCTTGAGGAGGCAAGTTAGGTGGTAGATCAGATGCATCGGGCAGAGGTGCTTAGGGCCATTTCTATGCATCCCCGGCGAGGGTGGCAGCTGAGGCATCTGACGATGTCATCACAAGTACGCTTTTATTATGCCATCAGCCTGCTACAGTATTATTTGATCCCGAGTCCACATTCTCATATGTATCTGTTTATTTTGCTCCCCGATTGGGTATGAGGTATGAGTCTTTGGCAGAGCTAATTCATGTTTCGACCCTGGTGGGTGAGTCCTTAGTAGTAGATCAGGTATTGCGATCTTTCTTAGTGACTATCCAGGGTTATGATACTAGAGTTGATCTTATTCTGCTAGATATGGTTGATTTTGATGTTATTCTGGGCATGGATTGGTTATCCCCTACCATGCGTTCTTGGATTGCTAACGCCAAGACCGTACTTTATCCATGCCTGGCATTCCCCCAGTGTTGTGGCAGGGTGCTTATAGTCACACACCGACGGGGATCATCTCGTTTATGCGAGCTAGACGGTTGGTTGCTTCTGGGTGTTTAGATTATTTGGCCTATGTGCGAGATATGAGTAGGGAGGGCCCTTCAGTTAACTCAGTTTCTGTGGTTAGAGAGTTTGCAGATGTGTTCCCTAGAGACCTACCTGGCTTACCCCCAGAGCGTGACATTGATTTTGCCATAGATTTGGAGCCCGACACCCGTCCTATTTCTATTTTGCCTTTCCGAATGGCTCCTGTAGAGCTCAGGGAGCTCAGTGTTTAGTTAGGGGATCTCTTAGGTAAGGGGTTCATCCGTCCGAGTGTGTCACCTTGGGGTGCTCCTGTTCTGTTTGTGAAGAAGAAGGATGGGACTATGAGGATGTGCATTGACTACAGGCAGCTGAACAAGGTGACGGTGAAGAACTGTTACCCCATGCCTCGTATTGATGATTTGTTTGATCAGCTTCAGGGTGCAGCCGTGTTTTCTAAGATTGATTTGAGGTCCTGGTACCATCAGCTGAAGATTAGGGCAGTGGACATCCCTAAGACTGCATTTAGGACCCGTTATGGCCATTATGAGTTCTTGGTGATGTCTTTTGGGTTGACTAATGCCCCTGCTGCCTTTTTGGATTTGATGACGCATGTGTTCAGGCCTTTTCTTGATTCCTTCGTCATAGTATTCATTGATGACATTTTGATATACACGCGAAGTAGGGATGATCATGAGCAGCATTTGAGGGTTGTGCTCCAGACTTTGAGAGATCAGCGGCTTTATGACAAGTTCTCAAAGTGCCAATTTTGGTTAGACTTTGTAGCGTTCTTGGGGCATGTTGTATCCAAGGAGGGCATTATGGTAGATTCGGCGAAGATTGAGGTTATTCGTGATTGGGCTAGGCCCACCTCAGTTACTGAGATTCGGAGCTTCGTGGGACTAGCAGACTACTACAGACGCTTTGTTGAGGGCTTTTCTACTATTGCAGCCCCGTTGACTCGATTGACTTGTGTTGATGTTCCTTTTGTTTGGTCAGAGGAGTGAGAGGCGAGCTTTTTGAGGCTCAAAGAGTTATTGACCACCGCTCCTATATTGACTCTTCCAGTTGAGGGTGAGGGATTCACAGTTTATTGTGACGCATCCGGTGTTGGTTTGGGTTGTGTATTGATGCAGCAGGGCTGGGTTATTGCTTATTCGTCGAGGCAGCTTAAGATTCATGAGCGCAACTACCCCACCCATGACTTGGAGTTGGCGGTGGTAGTTTTTGCACTTAAGATTTGGAGGCACTACTTGTATGGAGTTTGATATGAGATCTATATCGATCACAGGAGTCTTCATTACATCATGAGCCAGAGGGACCTTAATTCGAGGCAGCGTCGCTGGATTAAGCTCCTAAAGGACTACGACCTCTCTAATCTCTATCATCCGGGTAAGGCGAATGTGGTAGCGGACGCCTTGAGCCGAAAGGCGGTGAGTATGGGTAGTCTAGCCTTTTTATATGTTGAGGAGCGACCCTTAGCTTTGGACATTTAGTTCTTAGCTAATAGCATGATTCGGTTGTATATCTTAAATTCTAGACGCGTCTTGGCCTATATGGGAGTTCAGTCTTCGTTGCTTGATAGGATCTGTGGCTGCCAGTTTGAAGATGAGGCCTTGGTGGCCCTTAAAGATCGAGTGTTAGCGGGTGATGGTGGTCAGGCTACCTTAGATCTGATGGAGTGTTGAGATTCGCCGGCCGCATTTGTGTTCCGAGAGTTGGAGATTTGATACAGTTGATACTTTCTGAGTCCCATGAGTCTAGATACTCTATCCATCCGGGCACAGCGAAGATGTATCATGATTTGAGGCAGCATTATTGGTAGAGTGGCATGAAGAGATATATTGCTAACTTTATTTTTCGTTGCTTGTGCTGCCAGCAGGTAAAGGCCGAGCATTTGAGGCCTGGTGGCAAGTTCCAGAGATTACATATCCCGGAATGGAAGTGGGAGTGTATCACTATGGATTTCATTGTGGGGTTGCCTTGGACTTCTAGAGGTGTTGACAGCATTTGGGGCATCGTGGATCGATTGACCAAGTCAGCACACTTCCTTCCTGTTCATACTACTTTCAGTGCCGAGAGGTTGACTCGTATCTACATTAGGGAGGTGGTCCGTCTTCATGGCGTGCTTGTTTCTATCATTTCAAACCGGGGTTCACAGTTCACTTCCAGTTTTTTGAGGGCTTTTAAGGAAGAGTTGGGCACCCGTGTCCACCTTAGCACAACTTTTCACCCACAGACGGATGGCCAGTCGGAGCGTACTATTCAGGTCCTTGAGGATATTTTGCGGGTCTGTGCTATGGATTTTGGAGGTCAGTGGGACTATTTCTTGCCTTTGGCGGAGTTTGTGTACAACAACAACTACCACTCTAGTATTTAGATGGCCCCATTCGAGGCCTTATATGGTAGGCGTTGTCGCTCTCCAGTTGGTTGGTTTGAGTCTACAGCGCCTAGGCCGCGTGGTACAGATTTGCTTCAGGAGGCCCTGGATCATGTGAGTGTGATTCAGGATAGGCTCAGGACGGCTCAGGGTAGCCATCAGAGTTACGCGGATCAAAGGCGTCGACCATTGAGGTTTGCAGTTGGTGATCAGGTATTCCTCTGTGTGTTGCCCATGAAGAGCGTGATGAGGTTTGGGAGGCGGGGCAAGCTTAGCCCCAGATACATTGGGCCATTTGAGATACTCCGGACAGTTGGAGAGGTTGCTTATGAGTTGGCCCTACCTCCAGCATTTTC